AAATGTGCTTCTGATTACAGATAGCCTGGGATTACAAAGATTTGTATTTTAAAGAAAACCAGTTCGAAGAGAGCATAATTTGCTCTTTGGGTTAAAATAATTTCTAATAATTTCTAATTTCTATAATATGAAATTCGAATGGTATGACAATTAGATTAGACTGTGCAGAAATTGAAATCTACACGTTAATACACACTATATATTCACAGTCACATAATGCTGATGTTGTTTACATTAATAATTTGAGAAAGTGTAACAATAATATGCACAGTTTGATGTGATATGAGCTCATTTAGATTTAATCACCATTGGTAGCGTGATTTATGGTAATGCTTTTTTCCTAATTTGGTCAGAACAAACGTGGCAGACTTGCTACTTGTTTAGATGAAAATGCTTATATACACACCTCATCTGGTGCGTGAGGTGTGTACGCGCTCTCGTCACGAGTCGCAGGGTTTAATTTGGATTTGTCTGTGCATGTTTTTTTTACTCTCATAGATTTTGTTACCATTGCCATGCATTATACGACTGATAGACTGCAATGGCTGAAGTTAAAAATCATCAAATGTGTTCTACTGAAGAAACAAAGTCACCTACATCTTGGATGCCCTGGGGGTAAGCAGATAAACATCACATTTTCATTTTTGGGTGAACTATCCCTTTAAGCCTCGTCATTCAAAAAACTATTCTATGAAACAACAGCATTGCACTGTAGCGCAGAGGTTGCATAGGTACATTATCTAGCAACTACAACTCAAAATAAAAAGATTCCAGGAACTTGGATTGTTTTAAGAAACTTTTTAAGACATCTTTTTAGTAAAGTTTTCAACTTATGATTTACTTCTGTGATTCTATTTTTGATATTATGTATTTTTGGTTTGATTTGTTATCTTGTTTTGTACATGTTGTCGCGCCTTGTGTTTGAGAAAGACACATTACAAATAAAATGTACTATTAAAAAATTTCCACGTGTAGTAACTTATTTCATATGCAAAGATGTTACTCTAGCACTTTACCTTGAAGAATAAAATAGGACATAACTCAAGAGCACTAAAATAAGATCAGAAAATAGTCTTTTATTTCTAAATTATGAGAGTTTTGACGTAGAAATCCTACTAACAATATAAGAGCATTTGAAGAAAAAATTATGCATGGCCCCTTTAAATTAAGCTGAAAATAAGGAGAAAGCTGCAGGAGAGCATGGTACAAAAACACCTGTTAATAGCAAATGAATGTACAGGACAAAACAATTCAGCTTTGAGAATGAAAACCAACCTGTTTGTGTCTCAGTATCTTCATGTTTGACTCTGAATGTTTCTTCAATCTTCACGTCTTCACTCTCCTCTTTAATATACTCCATCTTTATAATTGTGTGTCACGTGTGTCTCAGTCACTTCAGCAGGAGTTTTTCTGTGAGTTTGGACACTTTGTCCTGTTTAAAGATGAGAATAATGAACCGTCTAAATCAGCTGCACTGGAGTCAGTCCGATTGAGAGCTAATGGCCTTAATTCACCTGATTAACCACATAAATAAATAAAACACTCAAAATATGCCAATGAATAATGCTAATAATGAGCAAATTAGGAAATTAAACTCTTAATATTTAGGTTTAATTAATATTCGGTATTTAATAGTTAGTATATTAGTACATACACGTTCATGAAAACATTTGTTTGGCTTGTTAAAGTTGTAATTTATTAATACACGTTTGTGTTTGTTTGTTTTCGTTATATTTAACACTGTTCTGAGCAGCAGCAGCGTGTGGAGATTTGAACGATTCGAATCACTGAATCACTTTTTGAATCAATTGATTCAATTGACTCGGAGTTTCTAAAAGCTGTTTCTCCATCAGTACTTGCCAGTGAGCGAATTAAGTACACAGAGAGCGACAGGAGACGCACCTTTACTGCTACTAATGTGCTGATGCGCTTTATTCACACAAAATAATGATCTTTAATGTTAGATAAACTATTGCAATGTTTCACGGAGTAATGATGGATTAACGTTACATCGCCTGTAAAAACTATTAGTAGACTGAATGCGTTGTATCGATTTAAACACTTTAAATGATTAAAAACACAAACCTTTCTTCAGCCGAACCACGACAGATGCAGGAAAGCGGCGCAGCCTTGTGACGTCATGGCACTAGTTCAAAATAAAAGTCCCTTTCACATGCAGCTGCGTCTACAATCCGAAAAAAAAAATATTTACATAAAAAACACATACAAATAATAAAACGTGTGAGAGTTTTATTCTTGGTGAAATACATATTTAAATACATTATGTCTGAAATAGTGTTTCGCACATCTAACGTGAGATTCTGTCTAAACTGCAAAACAGGCATGTTTGGTATGCTAATTAGCTACTAACTAAATAAATAAGTAACAAACAAACGTTTAAAAAAAAGAATATTTATGCATTATATTTTTTCCACATATGTGACTTTGGACCACAAAACCAGTCACAAGCGTCGATTTTTTACTATTTGAAAATCTGGAATCTGAGGGTGCCAAAAAATCACCTGAATTACAGAATTTCAAAAAAATAATTTGTTTTAAAACTCCAAAAGTGCCTATGTTTTTTTTGTGTTTATTGTAATATTTGAAAAGTATATAATGTTATTTATAAAGAATTACACTCATATTTTGTAGTTCAAAGGGTTTTCTTTACAATGAAACCATTTTTTTTTTTCATTTCCTCCATTGTATGTGTGTAGGGCAAACATTTGAATTTGAGTATGTCAAATTTAGGCGAAAATACCAAAAAACGCCCCAGAGAATAAGTGGTTTTAATATCCTAATGATTTTTGTCATAAAAGAAAAAATGATAATTTTGACCTGTACAATGGCTATTGCTACTTATGACTGGTTTTGTGCTCCAGGATCACATACATTAATTAATTCATTAATTTATTTATACATTTACTTATTTACACTTTTATTCATTTCATAATTTATTTATGTATTTGTGTCATCGTTTATTTCCCCAGTTACTTATTTCCAGATTTCTTTAATGTCATATTCATATATTATCCATGTATTTATGTCAGCATTTCTTTAGTTTCACATTTATGTATGTCCATATGGTAAAGAGAGGGGCATGTTTACCTTCAGACATAGCAGTAAAATGAAGAAGGAAGCAGGTTTCTGGACAAGGAAAGAAACATGAGACGAACACTGTACAGAGCTTTGATGGACAAAAAGGCTCCAGTATTTGCACAAATACGAGCAAAACCTGAAAGGGCCACACTTCAGGTGGAGGTTCACTGTCTCTGCAGGACCCCACACAACCCAGAGGTGATGGTGTAATGCAGCAACGGCAATAACTGGTACCACCCTAATTGTGTGTCTGTCCCACACAAAGCATTGGACACCACCGCAGAAGAGTGGAACTGTGAAATCTGCAATAATTAAACTGTGCATTGTAGTGGTTGGGATTAATCTTGTAGCACATGTTTGAGCCGACACAAATGTTCATAGGTACTCTGGATACGATCGATGTTGCAGAATGAACATGTAGAATGAGTAGGTTTGCTGTGTTAGTCATCGAGTACATTGACAGACGAAGTTACTTTTCCAAGTTGTTATTTGGAGTTCAACCCAAAAGTCTAGAGGTTAGTCTATATGTCTGTATAGTGAGGTACAGTGCTTGACATTAACTGTGGCTAGTGGTTTTCCGAATTTACTAGCCACTCAGCATTTTCACTGGCCACAATTTTGTTGTTGGGAAATTATATTTTATATGACTTAATACTGCATACAGAAATTAATTTAAATTGATTTCCAGGTCATTTTTGGCCTATTTAAAGGGCATTTTCCACTAACCGTATTAAATGCTTGCATCATCTTTCATATCAAATTCTTACATTTTATTAATAATTTCACTTAATATAATAAGACAATAGAGGGCTGTAACCAATCAAATTAAATCAGTATCAACAAAACCGATCTTTCCACTGCAGAAGAAACAGAAGTGTCTGGAGTGGGATTCAGATGCATTTACACACACGAATGCATTTAGATGCAAAATTATAACAGCATAAATATTTTGAGCTTGGTGTTTTAAAATAGTTTTTTTTTTTTTAGATATACAAATATGAAATGTTGGAAAAAGTGCAAAGATAAGCTACTATGAAAGTAAACCGCCAGTAGGTGGCAGCAAGTGACTTAAATCTTAATTAATGACTCATTGAAGCATGCCTTCAAACGATTCGTTCAGACGGCTGATTCATTCAAGAATGAAGCAAGTGCCTGTCTTTATGAACGGACCACTGAATCATTGAATTTCAAAATTCAAAAACGCGAATCATTCAGTAAGGAAACAGAGATGCGCGACTGTTTTGCTGTGATCTTTGTTTGGAACTATTTTCATTAACCTAATTGAGCAAAAACAGTCAACGTTGACAATATATCCTTTCAATAAATTCAAATTCAAACTAACAAATGTTTATTAACTACTACTCGTTTGAACTCTTGTAGCCTATAAAATGTCAAATTTGCAATTGTGGTTTTCAGGGAAAACTTCACTCTCTTGGTCGTGTCATGTTGCTTAAATAGGCTGTATGTTATAAATATAAAAACTAAGTTACATTTTTATGTTTCTTCTGTGTGCAGTTGTGCTCATTTGTTTTAATTTCTCCACAAGATTCTCTCAAAGACAGGTCGCGACCTTGTTGTTACTGTTGATTATCCATTAACAATTTCCGTTTACACCGAATGTAATAAAATCTGAATCATTCTCGCCGAAATTTCGGTGCTTCCCTAATTAGATGTCTTAATCAGATTAGTTGTCCGGTCGGGCAAGTAAAATCCTCTTCTTCAACTTGCCCCTTCAAAAAAATCTACTTGTCCTGGACAAGCATTAATGTCAAGCTCTGTTAATGTATTTAAAATTCAACCCGCCGAAGTGGCTAGTGGGAGCGACTGTGTTACCCGCCACAGCTGAAATCCTCCCGCATTTGAACGGCTTGCGAGACGTCACTTCTTCTCCAGAGATTTTATAATTTCTCAAGAAGTAAATAAGTTATTGTGTTTCTTTCTACGGCACAAAACAGCACAAACAAATGGCACCGGCTTGAGGCGATTTGGACGTCACTGCCCCGTATTGTATTTGCTATTTCTAAGGAAGGGAAATAGATCCAATGTTTATTTTAGTGGCACAAACGATCAGCGCCGGTTTTGTGCAATTTAGACGAACTGGGGTGGAGAGTGACGTCACTGCCTCCTGAAAACATCTTGGTTATATCTAAGGAAGGAAAATACATAGAGCGTTTGTTTTAACGGCACAAACCCAGCACAAACGAACTGCGCAGACCTGCCAACCTGTACGCATTTTGCTTAGCGGATACGCATTTTGACTTCAAAGTACGCTGGTACGATTTGTAACAACTACGCAAAAAAAGCTGGCTCTGTTTGTGTGTCCGTGAGTCTGCGTGCTGAGATGAATAATTTCCCTCTTGATCTGATGTGGCTTCTTATCACAGAATGACGCAGAAATAAATTCTACACTGGAATAACGGCTAGAATAAAGCTGGAATAAAGTCGATTAGCAGTGGATTATAAATATAACGTTACTTAAAAAACATTACAAATCTAAAAGATATATACCTTTGTGTGTGTGTGTGTGTGTGTGTGTGTATATATATATATATATATATAATTTATTATTAATCATAATATGGTTAGTTTCTATTAATATCGAAGGCTGTATGCTTAATAAGTTGCTCTGTTTGACACATTTTGTATCGGGTCCCTGCTCTATTTCTTTATTGCCTAAGGGGTCCTTGCGTTGAAAAATGTTGAAAAATCTTGCCTATATGCATTAACAGGTTATTCCCTTTTCTTTTACACACCAATTTACTGTACAGTGTTGCCCAATACCTCTATGTTTTTCTTGGAAGTCTAGTAGGAATTATGTGGAAATACAACTGAAAAGCTTCTAGTTTCGTAAGAACTCCATCCATACTTGCAACAATCAGAATGCCACATGAAGATAAATAATGAAAAAATTGTATTGTTTTACAATATTGTGAGCCTTGAACCTAGAAACATCAAGACAGAGAAGCTGTAGATATAAGAGGTTTCTATTAAACTCTAAAATCTATTAGCTCAGTTTGAAACGACCTCTCATTCCTGAAGTTGCTTCTGTTTCTTGATGTTTCTAATTTCAAGGCTCACAATACAATAGTATAATAACCTCTTATATCTACAGCTTCTCTGTCTTGATGTTTCTAGGTTCAAGGCTCACAATATTGTAAAACAATACTATTTTTTCATTCTTTATCTTCATGTGGCATTCTGATTGTTGCAAGTATGGATGGAGTTCTTGCGAAACTAAAAGCTTTTCAGTTGTATTTCCACATAATTCTAACTAGACTTTCACAGTACTAGTCAACGCTATTAGAGAAGCAAGAGAATACAAAAAACATGTTAATGAATTTGAAAAGAAACTCCCTGAGGATTATTAAAGTCCATTTAAATTTTAGTGTGCCGCGGACCTTTTCTGATCGGCAAATGATTGATGCAAATTACAGACAAGTGCTGGTTTTTATGTTTGATGCGTTTATACAGTACACTCATGTGACTTTAATCATTTAAATGACATGGTTAATGTTGAGTTATTACAACATAGTTTACTCCATACTGAAATCACATGCTTAACATAAACTCAACAATATTCACATGTTGGCTTGGAGACTGGATTTAGCTGTAACTTAAAGCTCAATCGTTCTCCTCTTTATCCATGTCATAGTAATACTTTAGTATAGTGCAGTAAGATCACTAATGGAAATACAGAGGAATAATCATTTTAATCTCTCACCTGAATAATCTTTAGGTGGATTTTGCATGTAATAATTTTATATTTAATACCTAACTCTAATGCACATGAAACAATTCACGTATTTTACTCCATGTTTTTAGATTGTGAATCGGAATCAGGAAAAGTCACAATAATTAGGGCCTGTTTTATGTACATAATATGCACATGTATGCAAATGAAGATACATTTTGATGTTGTTGTCATGGACTGTACTCCCCATGATCCTCCCTGGCACTTAGTATAGGAAATTATGATCCGCACTCATGAGAACAGTCTTGTTTTTGCGTTTTATTTTGCATTCATCACTGATGGGAAAAGACACAAAGGTTTCGGCTCAAAGCCT